CAAAGCAGTTTCTAAGCACTCTATATCAGTTGATGCTGCAATCGTGGTTATGAATCAAAAAACTGTCCAATCTTTGGTGAACATGTTGGTGTCAATTCTGTAGCACAAGAAGTTACCAACAGTATGACCTGCTTAAGAACCCCCTTAATTTTAGCTTTAAGTGCTAGTAACTCAACAAGCTTGGTGACCCCATTTTTTTATTATCGAATTGAGTTAAGCATGATAAGATGTAACTTTTTACATAGGTTAAAAATTCTGTGGAGGGTTCAGAGCCATCTTAAATTTTAGAGAATTAAATGTCAATTTATTTTTTTACAAAGATGTCTCAGGGCATGTGACTTCTGTAGTTCATAATTAAGATTACGTATCACTGTTTTCCTGATTCACTTGTCACAAAAATACTATTATCCTTTAAAAATCACATGCTTTACACTGAAGTTATTTTTTTTTCCATCAGGTTAATTGCTTAGTGAACCTGGAATCACGTTAGAACAATCATAATAATTGCGTGTTTGGATATTTTTATCAGTTGTCACTTACAATTTCAGACTCTTTTCTGTCATTGCTTTTTAACACAGATAAAGACAACAAAAACCCTCATCTGGATGACCAAAAGGTGGCCATGGCCACTTATTAGAGGTGGCCAGGCAATAGAGGTTTTATTGACAGTATTTTACTGACAATAATTTCGTGACTTTGATACCTGGCCGCCTAATAGGACTTCAACTGTACTATGATCCTGTCTCATATGGTGCCAGGCTCCACACCTGAGTGTACAAATTGACATTTAATTTTTTAAGCTACTTTATTACTTTTCACTAACTTGACAATGATATGACAATATCTAAAGGTGGTGCATTTTTAATGTTTTATTCTTAAATATTTTTACATTAATCTTAATAAATAGCAGGTCTAAGAAAAGAACTTCAACTGTAAAGTTGAATTTGTTTACAGAGGTTTTCCCAAGAGTTGCAAGTGAAGGGGAATTTATTTTGGTTCTATCAAAATTGAATAACCAGGAGATTAACAAATCACCACTACTACCAACATCCACAATGTTGGGGAATTCCAAAATTCTTAGACTTTCAGTTTCATCTTTTTACAGTATGTCTCAGTTTGGAAATTCCTAACATGTTTTTTGCATGTTGGATAACAAATCACTTTTAGTCGTAACTTTAAGAGTTGACGAGAGAGTCGAGGAATATTTGTCTGTTTATTGAAATAGAAATCTATTAACATATTGGGAATAATTCTATTAGCTTCAATTAATCTCTGCTGTGATTCAGAAAGTTCAATTAGGTTAAACTACAAACACCTCTGAAACTACAGTCTCCTTTCTTGGTTGCTCAGGAGAATCAATGTAGACAATGCCTGGAAATTACAGTTTTCAAAGGCAGGTTAATGTTTTTCACAAGGGAATAAAATCTTCATAGATTTACCTCCAAACAGGTGGCCTAGGAAAAAAAAAACAGATTCTGACTGAATTCAAGTCCAAGGCCCAGCTTTGCAAGTCTATCATTGAGTTGGGGTAATCTATCATTGAGTTGTTAAGCCATTGGGAACTAGGCAATTCCAAGTTGCTTTTTATACGTGAGAAGTGATATATATACCATGATGAATATATGGAATCAATCAAATAAATTTTGTAGTTAATTTTGATTTCAACTATATGTGGTTTGTTTTTTAAACTTACTTGACAAGTTTCTTTTTCTCTCAGTTTATCTGTAGTCAATAATAATTACTGAATAGGGATAAACTGGAAAAAAGTTAACTAACCTGAAGAAAATGAACCACATATAGTCAAATAAACAATTAAGTGAGATACAAATTAACTACAACATATATATAATCAAAATGCAGTGAAAAGAAAAAAGCAGATCAAGATCTATGCAGGACATTTTACACAGAAGCAGTGGAAGAAGGCCCAATTATTTTCAGGTTTTCTTTCATCCCCTGCAGTTTAGGGACTTATTGCTGTAATCATATACTTGTCATCTCAATAATTATTAAGTGTTTGGCAAGTGAAATGCATTTAAAGGTGGAACTGCTTTGGAAAATGGGGCCACGGTAATAACAAGGAAAGCTTAAAAAAAACTGTTGAAAGGTCAACCTTTTTCCTCATTCTGAAAGGAAACATAATTTCATCACAAACAAATAATCAGAAATCTGCTCTTTATTCTACTCTCCAACTACCTTCCCTGTCATGTAAACATTTTAAAATGTTTACACTAAGTACATATGTATACATAATGTACATCAGTGAACTATTATGTTTTTATTATTAGTTCTACCACTTAAGGCTGGTTTTTACTAGCAACGGGGTCGGAGTCGGAGTCATAGTCAGAGTCATAAGAACGTTTATGACCTAGTGACAATCAAAAATCAGAGTTGTAAGCGGAGTCATAAGATCGACGGAATCGAGTCAGAAAAATCGGAACGTTTCCATTTCTTCCGATTCTGTTTACGACTCCATCGTTTATGATCCAGAGAAAACTACATTGTCGGAGTCAGAAGCAGAAACGGAAGAACTAACCAATCTCAAGGCCCGGAAATGAACATTGTGATAGGTTTATTCTTCTGCTTCTACTTGCGACTCTGACAATCTATTTTTCACTGGATCGTAAGCGACGGAGTCGTAGGCGGATGCAGTGTTCTGCTTCTGACTCCATCAGTTTGATTTTCACTAGATCGTATCACTCTACAGTTCTGATTACGACTCCAACTGTAACTCTGTCGTTAGTGAAAACCAGCCTTTACTCTTCATTAAAATGCCAGGTATTTATAAGTGAGAATTTTTAATGAGCCCCTCTGGTATTTTTTCACAGTGTAATAAGCATTAGATATAATGGCAAGATATAAGGTTGTGAGAAATAATGATTAAGGTAATTCCCCAGTATTTCATTGCGCATCCTTACTGTGCATAATTTATGGCATCATTAGTGCGCGTTCACGCACATGCACATTGAAAACATGGCGGATTTGTCTTGATATTGAGTTCTGTCTGTTTAAAAATGGCTATAGCTCACTAATGAGCGCGGGCACCCCAAATTTTTTTCCAGTCATTTTAATCAACTAATCATTAGCTTTGCGCGAGAAAAGACTGATCCGATTTCTACGTTTGAAAATCGAATAAATAAGAAAAATTGCAGCTGCACTATAGTCTTTTCTATTTTGCAGTTTGATAGCCATGGCAAGCAATTTGGTTCCAATATTTTAACAAGGATTCATTGGTCTATGAGAATGTGGACCATGAAAATGTGGTTGATTTCGATTTGTTAAACAAGTGAAAACAGTCACTGCAACCTACAAAAAGAATTGATCTTGTCTGCATGTGCACAATGGAGGGGACTTAATATTTACCCGTAACTAGGGGATGTTATATGCTACACAAATACATTAATTGTCACTGTATTGATGTGCAGATGTAATGATTCCTTATATTAATTGATCAAACCAAAGTTATATGTTACCTCATCAAGCAAAAGAATGTCAGGGTTCATCAGAAGAGCACGTGCAATAGCCACACGTTGTTTTTGACCTCCAGACAACTTCACACCTCGTTCACCAACTTGGGTTTTGTATCCTTCCTAAGTTTTCAGGCAACAGAATAGATGCTCATGATCTTAATCTGAGCTAACATCTTTTACACATAGCATAAAACACAATGATGTCTTGAACTGCTAGATGTTTTATAAAGTCTGCAAAGTAATATGCTACTGGCAGACAACGAATAGACTGATTAACTTTTTTTCGAACTGTACTGAGTTCATTTGTTTTTTGGGTTCACACAGTCAAGGACTGCTACGACCCAAACCAAAATCATGACATGATACCAATTTTAGCCATGGTATTCATCAAGTCAGCTTTGAAGACAGGACTCCACCCAAACACAGCCAATGTTCCTGACTGTGTCATTAGTATACAATTTTTTTAAAACACAAAAGGTCTCGCCCTAACTTCCCTGTGGGTTGACAAGTGAGTGCTACTGCACATATGTACAGAGACATGTTTATTTCTTACCTCAAATGCAGTGATGAAATTATGAGCATTTGCCTGTTTGGAAACTTCCTCTATCTAATGAAAGTGAAAATTTATTAACTAAAGGAATCTTATTTACCTGTACCATCTGCCACTTAATTTCTCAAGGGAGGGGGTGGGGAGAGGTGACTTACAGGACAGGGATACTTGCCATACCTCTTAGGGGTTAAAAAAAGAGGTTTTGGTATCTCTGGGTGTTCAACCTCACAAGGTCCATAGCAGGAGCGTTTGTGGTCCCTTACAAGGTATAATGAACAACTTGCATCACCAGCTGTAGAAATTTATGACAATGCCTTCATAAACTTTACAAGTAGAAGGTATTCAAAGCAACCATCTTTATCGCTTTTAAACTTAAGAGTGTGTCAGTTAATGTGTTTTTGTACAATAATTGGTACCTCTAAGGGTTGAAAAAAATTCAAGCCACACCTACAAAACAGGATCTTAGTACCTCTTAAAGGTTCTTTTCAAAATTTCCAATAAGCAGGTTCACTTTGGCCTGTTTACAATGGTTGAAAGACAAAATCTTAACACTTTGTTGAGGTAGCTCTGATGAAAACCCTCGCATGAATCATTTGAAAGATCATCAAATTTAAGACCTTCAAAGACTTTCTCAAGATCCTGAAAGATAATGTTTCAAAAAATGTTTCAAAATTCCTGACATGATAAGGATCTTCTGAAGAATGTTGCAAATTCTGATAGAAGATTCTGATAAAAATGTTGAAGATCTGTAGGATCATTCTTCAGACTCATAATTATTTTCAACAGCATCCTCGAAGATCTTTGCAAAACTCATTGAAAATTATAAGTGTTTTCACCAGATCCACAATCTGGAAATTAGGTATGATATTATGTAGAGACTGCAGCTGTTATCTATGTTTAATTAATGATACACTTGAAAAATATAATCCATTCTGATTGCCTAAGAGCAGCACAGTTCAAATGTAACACCAGTGTTTAAGTGTCACACCAGTAAAAAAATGTACCACAAGTGTAACTTACAATGATTTCTAAAGTTAGCATGAAGACACTTCAAGGCTAACAATATAATGGTGATCCGAGGTATATCAAAGGTGGTTGAAGTTCACTTGAAGCCAAAGATAATATTTGAACATCGGACAAACCCAAAATAAATGAAGACCTTTATATATCAGAGCTCTGAACATTTCTGGACACCTCTGGGGATCACCTGAGGATCACCTGAACCCCTCCACAAGTTTCCAAAAGTCATCTGGAGATTATCCAAAGATCACCGAAGATCATCCCAAAATTGCTGAAGATTTCCAACATTTTTGGAAGATTTTGTGAATTTTTCCAGGAATTTTCAGGTACTGTGGCCCACCTATGCATAGCCAAAGACCTCAAATTGTATATTCTCATTGTAGTATTAACAAGTATAATCACATAATTATTCTTGTGCAATTTGGAATAAAAAAGCACTTTTAAATTTTTGAAACACTTCAAGTTGCATTCCCCCCAATGGGCTTTTACGATTTTGTCAGCAAAAAAAATATTTACTTGTGCTTATTTATGCCTAATTACAGTTGAAATCATGAGATTATCCATTCAAGTTAAACCAGGAAATGTCAATAAGACTTCAGACTGAGTACCACTTTATTTCTCATTCAATCAATGCTACATGACTCACCTCTTCCTGTGTTGCTTCACGTCCATATGCAATGTTACCAGCAATTGTTGTGGCAAACAAAACTGGTTCCTGGCTTACAAGAGCAATCTTCCGCCTCATCCAGAATAGATCCAGTTCACCCAAGTTTGTTCCTCCTAAATGCCAAATCCCAAATAAAAGCCATTATCTCCCACAACTTGATTCAAAATTACCATGTGAAATTAACATTGACAGGTAGTTTAATTATTCTCAACACCTACCTACATGTATGAGTTTGTTGTAAAAATAGTAGAGAGATAGGAATGAATCACTGCTGTGGAGTATGGACAGACTAAACAATTTATGATTATGCTAATGAGCCAGTAGCTTGTTTCATTTCATATCTCACCTATAGAGATACTGCCTGACTTAGGATCATAGAATCTCTCCAGTAAGCTAATCACTGTAGATTTACCACCTCCAGAAGGTCCAACCAGTGCAACAGTCTCACCAGGTTTAAGTTTAAATGACAAACCCTAGGAAATGTAAAATTGATGATGCATCAACACTAAGTTTTACAGGGCTTTGAGCTCTTCATATGACAAAAAATGTTTAATTACCAGTCTATTATACCTTCTATGAAAACCATAAAATCATGACAGAATGCCTTAATCCCATTCAGACTTGGGGGGAGGAGGGGGTGTTATAATGTTTTAGTAAAAGCTGCCAAACTTTGTAACTAAGACGGAACATCATCTGGGAAAAATTTGCCATAACATACCAGTGTTTTTTTTAACTTGTTATTTTCGTGGTAACTGGATTTTAACAGGCAATTTTTTTGAATATCAAATTTTCCTGTTTTTATTTACAAAATTTAACTTTCTTCATTTATTTGTACACTGGTAGGCTGTTTTAAAATGAAAGATGGTACATGATGAGGGCCCCATTAAGAGGGGAGGGGGGGAGGTATGAGTATCCCAAATCCTGTTAATTTCTGGTCTGAAATGTCCTGTATCTCTTTAATTCAAATTGCAAAAATTAANGCTACGGGTGCCAAGATCAAGGCTACATGAGGTGAATTAAAACTGAACAACACCCTTGGGTTTAGATGTCATCAAAACTCTCTGTCCTTTTTTCATTTGATGGATGTAAGGTGGTATATTAAAAGTTTGGCATAGAAACACGTATAACAGTTAGAACTTACTTTGATTAACAGAGGGCAAAGTTAGTCCTCCTTCCATATTAATGGATGGTAAGCGATCCATCAACTCAAACATGCGTACTGATGCACCTACTGCCTAAATGAAGAAATAAAGTTGACATGTACATGAAACTGAAAAGACCATAAGGAATTAAACCATGATTATCCAGAATGAATGGAACCTGAAACACCAGTCATGAAAGAAAGCAGTGTGCAGATAAGTGAGCATATACTAAATTAACCATCAACATTTATCAACTAACCTGCATAAAGTCACCATACAGAGATGAGAGGAAGGCAAAAGCCATGGCAACATTTAGAGTGTAGAGCATGAAAGCTTCAAAATGAGTATAAAGAAAATTTTATAAATTTGACTCAAAACATATTATTTTGTTTTAATATAAACATAAAAGTACAAAACAAGTGACCCTACAGAATTCTAGCAAAGATGAAATTTCTCAAACTGATACACATGAACACAATATGTATGAGAGCTATCAAACATTTACATAATTATCTTAAAGGACCCTAGTCAGCCTCCGCCATTTTCGATGCCATCAAAATTGTTGATATTGCATGGTGAAGCAAAATCATATTGCTTTACTGTAAGTTGTGTAGCTGAAAGTATGTTTAATTATATTTAGTAGTTTCACAGAGATTTCCTTTGTTTTGACATGCTCCAAAAAATATATAATAGCCAAACTCTTGCATGTAAACAAAAACAAAGGAGACTAACTAGGGACCTTTAAGAGCCAACTTTCAATTGGTGGCACGACATACTATTGGAACCACATTTTCTATACTGACATTTACTCATTGAACATTTACTAATTTTCTTAGTCGATATATTTTTTCCTTATTATCAATCCAGCTCCACATGTTGAAATGTGTCCCAAAAAATGCTGAAGTTTGTCAGTAGCCTCTTCTATGCCTGTGCTGCCTCTATCTAGTGTCCACTATAATGTTGAAAGTTACTCTACGTTACTCTACCGTACTCAACTGTACTCTACTCTACTCAACTGTACTCTACACTATTCAGTTGCACTCTACGCTACTGTACTCTACTTTATTATATGGCTAGCTCCGTGAGCGGGCAAGATGAATCAAATCCTGCACTGTGATTGGCTACCCAAGCGGGCAAGATGGAGCTATCTTGCCCGCTCGGGACTACCCGCCATGTCCCGCAAGAAAAATTTCCACGAAAGCCATATAATAAATCCTTTATTGACCAAGCTTATTTGGTCAAGATGGCTGGATATTGGCCTTGTTCTTTTTTGGCGAGTTTATGGACCTTGACTCCGTCTTGGTTCATAAACACGCATCTTGACCTCACACTTGGTCAATAACCCATACGTAATGTACTCTACTGTACTCTATGCTACTCTGCTCTGCTCTGCTCTGCTCTACAATACGCTACACTTTGCTACTCTACTCTACTCTACTGTACTCTTAGCGTAACCAGAGTATGATTCCCTTTTGGCAGACTAAGAATAAATGTCTTTGCATAGTTTAGACTCGCTTCTAATACCATAATCTTCAGTGCATAGAGTAGAGTAGAGTGGAGTAGAGTACTTAGCGAGGCGTGGTATGGCATGGTATGGCATGGTATGGTGTGGCATGGTGTGGCTTGGAGTAGAGTAGAGTACAGTGTAGCATAACCCAGCTTAGGAAAGAGTTAAGAGTAGTGTAGTGTAGCATGGCATAGCGTAGAGACTCTATTTCCTTTTGACACACTAAGACTAAAAGTCTTCCAGTAGAGTGGAGTACAGTCGAGTAGAGTAGATTCCCTGATCAATTATTATAATACTAAAAGGACTCAAAGTCTTGCAATGCAACTGGACTTCTTTTTCACCTGCCCAATGCAAAATTTACTTGCCCCGGGCAATCATCAGATCTGGATATTTTCCTGCCCTGCCTTATGGGAAATATTTGTTTGCTAACGTCACAGGTACATTCCTTGGGATGATCCAAGTCAAGATCAATGTCCAAGATCACTCAGATAATGGTTCATCAAATGAACCAATGAAAACTTGACCAGAGTGGATTCATCAGTTCCTTTGATGCACCATGAGCTGAGTGATCTTGATCTGGTTCACCTAAAAGGAATGCACCTCAAAACATTATTTTTTAATTAAATGTGATATTCATTACCTGTCAAAATACCAACATTCAATGCCCCCTGATTGACCAGACTACCACCATACCATAAGACCAACACAACTGCACCCTGAGATAGCAACAAACATTCAACAAATAAGATTATTACTTACTACCTGGACTGATAATGACCACCTTGCAGCAGCACTACAACCTTGATTAGCACAATGCTGGGACACTTAACAGTTTCTTCCCCCTTGTCCACTTTGCAGTGATAAAAATTTGATTTCTCTTTTAGTTAAGTTGGCAAGTAAGTATTCTTGGAGTTTCAGTTTCTTGGAGACCTAATAGCATCTTTACATTACTGGTAACCAACACTAATCAAAGATGATAAACATATACCAATGGAATTTTCTTTTCTTACAATCCCCTTAAATGTATATTCCTGAAAGATGATGACAACTTGAAAACATAATTGATGTCCCTGAAAGCTTAACAGCCAACCCAGGTAGCTAAACTGACTAGGCATACAAAGAGAGACCACTTTCTCTGTAACAACTGTGTGACCCATTAATACATACCTGACCTATGATACCAATAACACCTTGAAACAAACCTACATGTAAAATGGAGGAAAAAATTATTTGGTTACCAAAAACAATGTATTAAATTGCATAACTCTCCCACTTGGCAAAAAAAATTCTGATCAGGTCTAGCAAGTATGCTACTGTGTCAAAATCACTTATTGGTTTTGCTCATCCTTAGTGTGCATGCAATTCACATGCTAAGTTTTCAACCCACCTAAAATGTTCAAATGAATAGTGCTAAATTTTTGACAAAACCAGAAAACATTTTTGAGGTTGATATTTAAGAGCGTAGAAAAGGGGTCTGCCAAAATAGAGGAACCTGCTCTAAAAATATTTCTAGGCAACACAATTACCCCCCATTTGGCATGAAATTTGTCCTTGGACATTAATTATAATTATCTGTTCCTCAAGGTGCAAAGTTTCCTTTGAGCTTTGCTCTTGGAAAACTGTACCCTTTGCAGTACAGATAACTTTATGCCAAGTGGACATTATTGTTTATATAAAACCCTCTGACTGATAATTGTCTCTACAAGACATTAGAGAAGGCAGTTGGTAGGTAAAACATGGAACAACAGTGCATTAATCTGAAATGTTTTGAAACATAGCTACAAATTCTTGAAAATTAATACATGATACATTTGAAAATCAAGTGGTCTAAGAGCTTACCGGGCATGGGGGGAGTTTTTCCTATAATGACCTCTATGGGGAGGCTCTGCCAAAGAGGAGTACCTTTTTCGAGCTTCAGGTATATAAGGACATGGATTTTACAAGCTTAGGTATGTGAAAGGGTAGGGAGATCTTTTATTTAGTCATTTTAAAGAGCTTTTAATTAAAATATTTCGAACAGACACATGCTGTTTCATTTCATTTATTAGACAACGAGAAAATGGCGAGATGGCTTCTTTTTTGGGTGACTCATTCATAACACAGGCCAATTATGAAAGCATGTAAGAAAGTGTGTGAAAGGAATACCTTATTTATTGAAAGGTATACAAAATACGGGACTCGGAAAAAACTTGAAAGTAGCTCTAAAATTTTGCTTACCCTGGCCAAGTCTTAGTTTGCTCTTTTAATGATTTAGTTGGCAGACGCCTTGCTTGATCTCTTGCCCACCAGACAAGTGAGAATGAAAAGTTACTTACCCAGAAGGAGAATTTACTTGTCCTGGATGACTGGACAGCACTTTCTTCACGCCCTGAAAAGGGGTACCTCTCAAAATGGCATACACAAGGGTAAGGGGTTGGACCTCGGGGCAGAGCCTGCCTGCATAAAACTGTCTACAGTACCCCTGCCCCACCTGCCGGGGAAGTTTGCTTTGTTATTACGTGCAATTATTAATAACAGGTTTCTGTACCTGAAGCAAGGGCAAGTTTAGCTCCAACATTGTAACTCTTGTCAATGTCTGCTTTATAATTATCCATGGCTTTTCGTTCCTGAGAGAATGATCGAACAGTTCGTATGTTGCCAATTGATTCTTCCGCAGTTGTTGATGCTGCTGCTAGCTCATCTTGAAATTTCTTTCGTAACCCCTGCACAAACCGCCCTACATTTTCAAAAGGCAAATATCAATGAATTAGTTTAATTACTTTGGTTTTGTGCATCTAGGTGGCCTGGAATAAAAGTGACAAACACAAACAAAAGAAAAACTTGAATGCAAAGGATAACATCCAAAGGAGTCCATCCAGATTTGACAAAATTTCCATGTTATTGCATAAACTAGTGGTTATTCTTTTTTGCATAAGAGCTGGTATGAAGCCAAGGTGGTGGTGAAAAATAGACAGTGTTGGGTTGAGAACGTGATGGTTTTGTAATTGTACCTACTGGTGTGATGAGAGGAAATGATGATGATTCTTTTTTATTTCCTTAAGTAGTCTATGGAACAGGTAAGTGTACACAGAAAAAGAGAAACCACTGTACAAACCATATTGCTGAGCTCCGATTCCCACAATAGGCACTACAGAAATAAGAACTCCCGTCAGCTTGGGACTGAGAGTGAACATAAACACCAGTGAACCAATGATCTGAATTATGTATCGCAGCAACATGGACACATTCACCTAGAGTAAGAAAATTAACCAATATGTTATAGCGAAATAAAACCTTACACTTAGCTTTCAAAGGCTTTAGTTAGTGAACTATTGCAGCCATAATTCATGCTCCTTTTTAGTTTTGTACACTATNACACTAAATATAATAATTATATTCAGTGTGTTATTGACCCTCTTCTCATTACAATGTTTTAAATTCAAAACATTTCAGACCAGTTTGATTTAAAATTATTTTCTTTTGTCCATCTGCATTGACAAACATAGGCACGCAAGGCGTGCAAGAGTTATTTTTTGTGAACTAAAAGTCTTGGATTCATGGAACTGTTTACAGTAATGATTTGGTTAATTTGACAAGTTTTTTGGTTGCGATATACAGCAAGAAAGAAACTGGGAATTTATGATGAACATACGATGTTACAGCGGTAATGGTAAGGTAACCAAATAGTAAGCCATAAAATGTTCGACTGAACAAACTACAGTAATCTGATACGTCTCCAGATTAATGTAGATACCATCTTATTTTGTAACAGGCAACCCACACTGTGATTGGTGTGACACGCACACATGTATAACTCCCTCACTCAGCAATCACATAACCCCTCCAACCCCCAAGAGGAATTTTTGCTCAAAAATACTCAAGTTAAGAGAACTTTTTGCATTTTATATGAGTCATAAGTTTACCCTTTTTACACAACACAACACATCAACACTACTTCACCGAAAATTGAAAGAAAGAGAAAAAAACCTGACACGTTGAATGTCTGATTTAATTAAATTGCACTTCAACTTGGTGCCACGCAGTCTTCAAAGAACATTTGAACAGTTTTCATACTTTTTACCTTTAAGAATATCGGACTGAAAAGAATGTCATAAAGTGCCCATCAAACAAAAATATTAAACTGCTACTGCAGAGATGTAAAAACCGTCCAGAAATGAAAGCTTCTTTTTTGTTTAATATCCTGGAAACAATAGCCGGTAACTTGTCAGCTCTAACTGAATTTACTCCAATATAAAAAAACAAAAGTGTTAATTTGCACATATGTTAATTACATGTAATATGCATTTTGTGACCGTCAAGGTGGCACATGAACATGGCCAGCAGGCATTCTTTACTTGCTGTTACAGCAGTGCATTGCACAGCCAAAATAATAATAATAATAGTCAAATTTATATAGCGCTAATTATATAAAATATTCATAAGTGCTTTACATTTTAAAATATAAAACACTGTCTTACCAGCAACACCTCTTATACATATATGTATATGACTTGTGTGGTTAGTAATCAAACCTATTCCATTTTAAGTGCTTTCTATTAGGGTCTAATGAAGCTTTAGAAACGCCCACATTAGTCTTCTTTAGGAGTTAAATTCAAATTTTCTGACAAGGATCCCTGACCTTCTCATATTGGAGTCCCCTCTTAAAAACCAACCATAACTGCAAACCACAACTACTTACCTGCTTTCTAATCCTAGCCACAAGCCGCTGTCCAGAAAGAGTAAAGAGCCATGCCCTTAACAGTGCTGCTAATGCACCTCCAAGGTAGACAAGGGCAAGGATCGCAATTGTCTCATTAAGATGCTCTTTTAAAAAAAGAAAAATGTTTCAGCCATATTTATAAAAACTGCTGAGAGTTTCATTTTGGGGGTGAAATGAAATGCTATGTACTGATCATCTGATAAACGCATGCATTAACTGCAAATTTTCACGTTAAAGTGCAAATATAGCAAACAAATCAATACTGCTTAGGCTATCCTCCAACTAGAGGATTTGAAGGACATTAGCAGGCATTAGCCTTCTGTTGGAGCAAAGAAAAGGTACATAACATGTACAAGTGGCTTCATTTTGCTTCTGTATCTAATGATCAACTGTGCAATTATATTCTAACTTGTGTTTTCAAAATTAGATACATTTCTTTGCAACAATGAGTCATTTTCTGACACTGATGGGCTTAATTGAAGTGAGAAAAACAAAAACACACTGTTCTTTTGTAACATTGGATATTAATAAGAAACCATTTTGCCACTAAAATATGTAAACATATAGACGTCTGAATACAGTAAAATTCCTAAAATAACAACCATAGAGTAGTGACCTCCCTCAGGAAGTAGCGAGATTGACAACTGCCTGCTGACTCATACCACTATAAATAAACTACGGATGACCTCCCTTTAATCACTATAGCCACCTCTCTATTCAGTCAAATATCAAATACTTTTCTATGGCTAAAATGTCTATATCACTTACTCATGCCTTTTTCCATCGAAGCTTGGATCACTTTCCCAAAAAAATAGGGAGCAGCAATTTGAGCTCCACTTGAGGCCAGAAGAGCTAAGGATGCCACAGATATAACCAAAAGCTCCTGAGATTTGACAAATGGATCAAATTTTAGTCAAAAAAAAAAGAGCAGCTAGTCAAGGAGATTCACTCTAGTTCAACTACAGGAAGTAAAAATGAATTTCAATCTATCAATGGGTCAATAATAACACAGCATATAAGTGCCCTTCAGAAAAAAATAATGACTCAGATGCTCAATAGTACATAAATAAGGAACACCAATACAATACAATGTAGCTCAAATGCCACAAACTGTGCCTACTCACCACAGTTTAATTCATAACCATGTAATTTATTATAGGTGACATTTAAAGCGAGAACAGGAGGATACTGAAATAAAATTATAATGTTAGGGATGTTGATTTACAGACATCACTTTGCTGTGTCAAACAAAGGCAAAAGCAGACCTCTGAATTCAGGCTTAATTACTACCTACTTCACAAAATAGAAATCTTCCAGGGCTCATTTGTACAGTGTAATGTAATTGTTATTTAAGAAATAGAAAACTTGTATTTAGTATAAATCTACTAGCGTTCTGTTATTAATGCCGTTCTCTGATTGGCTACGCTACTCACTTTCTATTCTGTCGTAGATAGTGAGTAGTGTACATGTAGCAGCGTGCACTGGGGGCCGCTCCTTTGTGTTTTCGAAGTGTCTTTGAAGAGGACTTAGATAAAGTTTTGAACTACTGGTAGATTTATACTAAAACAATTAGATTATTCGCTCTCGATTTCTATGTGCAATAGTTGACTCGTGCTGTACCCTCGTCGACTATCATGCGATAGAAATCTTGAGCTCATAATCTAATAAATAGAAGCACAAGTGGAAGTTTAGGAGAACAAGAAATGCTGTGGGAACACAAGCCAACAGGCAAGTATTTCCACACCTTTTTCAAGTTCTCCCAAACTTCCACAGGTGTTTCCATTAAGGAATTAAGTTATGAGCTCAAGATTTTTATTGCGTGATAGTTGACGAGGGTACAGCCCCAGTCAACTACCACGCATAGAAATCAAGAGCGAATAATGAAGTTGTTTTAGTATAAATCTACTAGTCGCTCAAAACTTCATCTAAATCCTCTTCACAGATACTTTAAAAATGCCAAGAAGCAGCCTTCATTTTGTTAACAAGGACACACTGCTACACTACTCACTATCTATCACAGAATAGACAGTAATTAGGGTAGCCAATCAGAGAATGGCATTCATGATAGAACGATAGTAGATTTACACGAAAACTCGACAGAAACACAGAGAACATGTTTTCTATTTCTTTTCGAAAATTCCATGACAAAAAAAGAAACCAAGTTGATTACTTTGATCATCAAAATGTAAATAATCTTTGCTCACACCATCATTACATCAACAGCTTGAGCTAGTTCTGTATTTCTAGCGAGTTACAGAAACAAGATTTTAAACCAATCAGCGTGCATATCAATTTTCATTAGTCTATTTTTTAATGATCAATAAAATATTTGCTCTCCACTGAAGTAAATCTTCCAAATGAAGGGAGTAAAAAAACAGCAGAACTTACTGGTTTGGCTAGAGTCATCAACCTCCTCAAATTCACCTTTCGCTTCTTGTTGGAATCAGCATCATTAGGAGTGTGAAGAATCCGTAGCACTTTCAATCTTCTCATGGCAACAAAGCTACTCAGTGAAAACACAGACTCCAGCAATGAAAATACAAGAGAGCTTATCACCAGTGCGTAATAGGTTGGGTGGAGTTTATGCTCCTTCTCTGATCTTACTTTGTAGATAAGAACACCTTTAGTAGTGCTTTAAGCCAGAGACCCAACACTCAGAAATATTACAAGGAAGTGACAAGAACATTTCCTGGATGCCAGTCCTTTGTCATATGGATGGTCAATTTGCTTCATTGACAAATGTTCAAGCCAGGGATAAACAAAAAAGAGAATGCTGGATTTCACAAATGCTATTGCTGCTAAGTCAAACACAGAGTCTCTTATTTTGAAATGCTTAACACTGCCCTCCATATAGTTGTTGTCTCCACCACAAAGCCAGAGTGCAAGAGAAGATACCAAGTCAAACAGTAACACCACCTGGACAACAGTTGTAAAGCGATGTGTAGGAAGAGAATAATATCCTCTACTAACTTCACCTTCTTCTCCACTGGAATTGGTAGTAAAAAGAGATGAGTCCACAGAATCTGGAAGTTTACTTCCACTCTCTCCATGCTCCATTTTTCTTTTATTGTACAAACTGATTTTTAACACATCTGAAAATCCAAATTAATAACATATGGGTAAGCAGAATGCATGCTTTTATTAGAACCATTTTTTAGCATTGAGAGTAACCTGTAACTGCTTTGCTCTTGCCTTAAATTATTATGTTTTGTAACTGGTTTAAAAACTTGTGCCACCTGCTTGATCAAGGATTAGATGTGGCTTGGTAACATGCTGCAGGTTCACACCAGCTCATCAGCACGGCATTGTGCACATTCAAATTACAGCCAAAATGACAAATTGTTCCATGGTCAAACATTCCAAGTCAGATCATTCCACAGTATAGTCATATTGATCCACTTATAAAAAGCCAAAAAAACATTCCTACTCAATGAAAATGTAATGAAAACCATCCAGTTTGATGTTTATTTGAAGGAGCTAGTAAATAAAAATGCACTACCTTTTACCTTGA